ATTCCCGAGGATATGCGAATATAACGAACCCGACTGGAATTGGACCTCAGCTTTCTGTTTTCCAATTCCGAGTTGTTACGCATTACCCCACCCATGTTTACAGCTGCTGGTATTCTCAAGGAGTTGGGTACTGGCCAGGCTTAACATTGCTTAACTTTGAAAGTCGTACATACTAAAATAAAAAAATAATGCAACAATACTTAGCCTGGGGAGTTTGTGGCGGAATACCCTGTAGGGAGTTTAATGGTACTAAGGAGGAGAAGGGGAAGAACTGGGAGAGGAGTCATATTTGCAGTGTCCCTTCAGAACATTAGCGATCATGGCTCTTCACATCTTCTTGCCCTCTGCAGTTATCTCTAAAACTCTTCTCCGTCATTCATTTACATAAATTCTCTAGGTAGGTTATGCACCGTTTTCTTTTATCCCTCTTTCCTTCAATCTGTCATGTAGGTATTAAATTTTCCAAGCCCTCTTTCCTCATTATGAGCTCCAGAAATGTCAACTGCCTCTTCCTGGTGTTAAGTATAAGTGTCTTTTTTGCTTCCATTGTCTTCAGTACTTCGTCATTGCTCACATGTTCGGTCCATGGTATTTTCAGCATCCTTTAGAAGAACCAAATTTCTGTAGCTTCAAGTCTTCTTCTTCTATGAGGAGATTATCCAGCATTCACTGCTATAAAGGAGGACTGATATTATATAACATTTTTTTAACAATTTCACTCCAAGCAAGGCAATAATGCCACTAGGAGGCAGGGGATTATTGTTTTCTTGGTTTCTAACGATTTTTTTTCTGTTTCTTAATACTTTGCTTAGTTTTGAAAGGCATCTTTCGCTAGCCAATTGCACCTTCTGTTTTCAGTGTCGCACTTTTCGTCCTCTGATAAATCACTGCCCAGATATTTAAGTTGTTGTACTTGTTTGATATTGGTATCTACAATTTGTAATTTGCATGTTTGGCTATTCCTTTTGCTGAAACCTATGTATTGCGTTTTCTTGCAAATGATGTTAAGTCCTTTCTTCTCTCTTTCCTTCACTGAATTATGTAGGAGTTCTTGTTGTTTCCATTCCGTGTCTGCCATTAAAAATGTGCCATCTGCGTATTTTATGTTGTTAAGATTGTAACCGCCAATAATGAATCCTAGAAGGGCTTCTAATTCTCTTATAATCGTCTCGATGCATATGTTGAATAGGTCTGGTGAGAAGACAAACTCTTGTCTTACACCTCTTTATATTTTTGGACTATTAAACTCGTTTTCTCTCCGTATGCAGGTGGTTTTCTACCAATATAAGTTCTGGGTTATTTTAATATCCTTACCTAATATGTCAAGCTTACCTAGCAGTTCCAAGAGTTCTTTGTGACATACTTTATCAAATGCTTTTGCATGATCTATTCCTAGTTGGTAACTTGTTTCTACTGCTCGCTCCCATTACTCACCTGATTCAATGAGGATGTGTAGCACGCCGTGTGGCGCAGTTGTAGCTCAGTTGTCGTGCGTATGTAGCACGCGGTGTGGCGCAATTTCTAGCTCAGTTGTCGTCGGTGTCGTACATCACGTTGTCTTCTTCTCCCTTACCTGATTAACGAAAGTAAGTTTACATGATTTATATTTTTATACAATATATTTTTTATATGTGTGTGTGTATATATATATGTGTGTGTATGTGTATGTGAGTGTGTGTGTATAATATATATATATATATATATATATATATATATATATATATATATATATATATATATGTATGTGTGTGTATGATATATATATGTGTGTGTGTGTGTGTACTATATATATGCTGTATCATTCGTTAATTTTGACACTCAATTTTAACTTACTTTTGGCTTCTGAATCCAGAAATGACCCCATTTTTCCTGTATCACGTCAGGTTTGCATGCTACAGGATACCCTCGTTTTGTATAAAGAAGCATAAAATACTGTATCTATATTTGGGCTCATTTTATTGTATGGTTTAAAATTTACATATGATGGAAAATAATAAAGCATTGCTTGGCTGTAATGTTTGTACAAATACACTTTGTTCATACAAAGGATATTATTACTGTAAGTCAAATTGTGTGCAATTATTTAAGGTAAAAAATTTACAATTATAGCTTTTCCTGGAGTGTATAGTATATGGATACTCTCACTCTATGCTTCAACACTAGTCAGCCATTCTATTTTCATCCCATCTACCCTGATACCGTTCTTCCATGAACTTCAAATCATGGTAGAATCTTTCACCTTGCTCATCGCTGACTTCAACAAGGTATTCTGGTATGTGAGGAAAATGGCTGTGCAGAAAATGCAACTTGATGCTCATGTTGCATCCGAGGGATTTTGTAACTCTCCAATAGTTTCTGGACAATTTCGGAGTAATTCTGTGTTTGTTTATTTCCAAGAAATCTCTTGACAACGACTTTGAATGATGACCAAGCATTCTTTTCAGATTCTGACAATGTCCCGATAAAATGGTCATCTTTAATGAGCTGCCGAATTTGTGGGCCATCAAACACGCCAGAAACTATATTCAGAATTGTTCCCCAGTGAATTGGTACATTTGTCTAGCTTTAACTTGATTATTGGCAGCACTTAAAGATCATGTTTTTATGTCCATACAATAATTTCGGTTTGTTACATTTAACCCGGCGTTAGTCACCTCGGATTGCCGAAAATCGATAGTCCCCTGGGGTTTTACAGACGCCAAAAGAAAATCTAATATTACAATTATGTAAAATATTGTCGTACTGCTGACAAAAAAATAGCATAACTTTACAATATTCATTAAATCAAAACTAGAACTTCAGATATAAATATTCATTGGAATGAAAATCATAATAAATTAGTTGTGTAAACCAAGGCTGTAAATTGTAGGTGAGAGACACACCAATACAAATAATAGAGAAAAGTTGTATTAGTAAAAAATAATCACAATATGTTTCCATGAATAGAAAGATATTGCATGAACTAAACTCCTAATTATAGGACTGAAAATGTAATAATAATAATAATAATAATAATATATAATATTTATATAATACACACACACACATACACACATACACATATATATACATAAACTACCCCTCAAAAGTTTATATAAAAATAATAATGTAAATTTTAAACCATTTTTTATGCATGGAAATGTGATCTGATGAACTAGGAAAAATCACTTTCCTGGGGAAATAAAAATATAATCAATGGACCCTTAAGGTTGTCTATTAAAATATATTATATATATATATATATATATATATATATATATATATATATATATATATAGTGAACATTAAAGTCAACACTCAGGAGACGACAGACTGTTTTCATGCTTTAAATGAAATCATCAGGCTACCTTTACCTGATGTTGCTTTTAATGTTCACTTTTATATTCACATATTTATCCCATAAATATAGCATACCTAAAAACTATATTTCTTCATATATATATATATATATATATATATATATATATATATATATATATATATATATATATCATGTAAACTTACCTACGTTAGTCAGGTGAGGGTGACAGAACACCCTGAATAAGACCACGTTACGTCCGACACCCACGACAAATGAGGTATAACTGCTACACACCCTTATTGAGTCCTGAGAATAGTGGGAGGGAACAATAGAAACAATTTGTCAACGAGGAATTACGAGTACTTTTTAAATTTTGTGGGTAACAAAATACCCATGTGACGAAAGCAGGGTTTAAACCTGATAGGAGGAATTGTTTTTTTAAACATAACGTGCTGTCTTGAAGCAGAATGCTCAAAGTTCAGCATAAACTGAAATCTTCAAAAGTGCACTTGCTGCGTTTATATAAGTTGACAGACATTAGGTCGAGTCATAACTAATTTTCGATTTAGGAAATGACTAATTTATCATCCTAACTACTAATCATATCTGACAGTTAAGAATAAATTTAAACTGTACAAACATACTTTAATCTCTGCATGGCAGCGTACACAGCGGGTTAAAGAGTATTCGTCACCTAATGTTATGGTGTCCAAGAAAAGGAATAAGTTTATGGGACATCGAGAAAAATATGTTATGTTTACAGTCAAGACGTCATAACTGACCGGCGAATACGTAATTGGTTTGTAAAGTTTCTTTCGGGAGAAACGTCGTTAGAAGAGGGACCCTACCTGGACACCGTTCATCGTTGATGAAGCCCTAAATTCATTGGTGAAAAATATGACGTGTTTACAGTCAATAAATCATACCTGGCCGGCGACATGTAATTGGTTTGTAAAGTTTTTTCGGGAGAAACGTCTTTGGTAGGTGAACGCTCAGCCGGGCTGTTTATGGTACTTTGCTGATGAATCTTTAAAGTCATCAGATGTAAAAAGCCATTCACTACAAAATACTCCGGAATTAGCAAGCATGTTGAACATATCACGATGTGCCGTATGTTGCCACATAGAAATGATAGGGAAAATGTTTGGGTTCTACACGCTTTTGCCGAAAAAAAACAAAAAAACAAAAGGGGTCATTGATAAAGTTAAACGGAAATTATTTATTACTGATCTTAATCCTATCAAACACGAGCGCCTAAAACTTGTAAGACATAACTCAATATTACACATGATACTTGAATTAATTTTGTAAAAATATTTCATGTGACTGCCAAACAGAATTAAATGTCACCCTAACCTTATTTTAAATGTAAATAGAAATAGAATATAAATTAGTATTATTTAAATGTTTATTTTTAAAATGCATTACATAGAGCCTGAAAATGATTGTTTCTTTTTTAAAGCACTGGTATTCTCCATATTGTTTAAACAGAAGATATGAATTTTTCTTGCTCTTACTTAGCGTGTTTATATCGGCGATAGTAAGTATCCTAGTAGCAATTCCTTCTCATTCACCCAAATTGGGATAGGTCTTGCGACCTATCAGTCCAGATATAATCTCCTCGTACCGAGACCTTTTGTTAATATAGTATAAGTAATGAGATTATAGCTATCGCCGGTTTACTAGACCTGTCCCGTAGATTGCATCACCTGGTATTCCCCAGTGGTCAACCATCTGAGAACTGACCAGGTTCAAAGATGCTTAACTTCGATTATCGCACGAGAACCGATGTTTCAACGTAATACTGCCGTAAGCCATTGCCACAATTAATAAAATAAACTTCAAAAAATTTTTTTTTTGTTAAAATTTAAAATCGTTGTCTGAAAATAATATCTTATTTTAAAATATACTTGTTATTTCTGTTCAAATATATTACTATTATATTTGATTTAATATTACATCCTAAGCAAGGCAATAAAGCTACTAATATATAAGGGCTTACTAAGAGTGAAAGAATAAGAAAAAGAAAAACATTATTAAGAAACGAGAACAATAAAAAAGAAGATAAAAAAATACTGTAGATAACGATTGACATTGCATTTAAATTTTTGATGGTCAAAGTTGGCTGGAAATCATGAAGCCGGAAGTGAGTTCCACGGGTTAAAATTACGAGAAAAGAGACTCTTAGCAAAGAACTTAAGGTTACATCTGACAAATTCATTCTTCTCCCCCAGCTATGAGTTAATTAGTAAGATTTTTATTACTAAATGACTATTATCACCAAAACAAAAAAAAATCTTACAATCAATTATATATATTATATATAATTATATATATATATATATATATCATACAATTAAATATTTTCTGGCTTTAAATTACCTGCAAAGAGTTGATGAGACGTAGAAAACGAATGAATTTTAAAAAGACATATATATTGGTTGGAGTGGGCCTTGTACCACATCTAAGCTATGATTGGAAAATCTCTATATACTGGTTGGAGTTTATCTCCTGGCAGGTCCAACCTAGCAAGATAGGTCAATAGGTAGGAGCCGGGCTAAACCATAGTCATAGTGGAAGAGTAAACCACTTTGACAAAATCCTGGAACAAGCAGTGGCTCACTAGTTGCATATTACCTTGCTGGGCAGTTGTTCTCTCTGTGGCCAAGCGGTCTATGGCACGGTGGTTTCTCTTGCATATATAGGCAAACACCAACAGATCGATACATTGACTTGATATACAGTGATCGATGGCGGATGATAAGCGACACAGTCAACTACAATGGCAGAGAACAACAAATTCTAGTTAGCTGAATGCGATAGTTGCTAGTAAGAGTTGTGACCACTAGTGCTGAATCGTACTTACATTATAAGTGTGATAGCAGTTGGAAAAAAGCATGACTGGTAGGGTCAATTCTTCATGCCACTTTGCTGCTCGCGGGAGTGTTTAGACAGAAATGAATAGAGGGAATAATGTATTCGTGTTCCCTCGAAATAGATAGAAAGGGAGATATGGATATGGACTTTAGAATGAGAACAACCAATCCCAGTAGATTAAATAAAGGCTTCATTTTGAAATTTTCTGGATATAAAACGGATTGACAGAGAGTTAAAAAAAAATGGTTAGAGAGCACAAAAATTAGGACACCTTTTATGCTTTCCATCAGCATGGCTGATGCTAACCTCCACGTTTTTCACTGGCATGAAGCGGAGTGATTATATTGAATAAATTGGTAGGTCCACTGCTATAGACATTGATTCACTGTGTCGTGTCAAAAGAGTTTCTCGTGTCAGAATCCATTATACACATCTGTAAAATCAACCATTCGTCTGCGCATTGAACATTGCTGTCATATCTGGTCTGCTGCTATATATATCTTGAGATTATTGACAAAATCCAAAGAAGTGTCTGTAATGTAATCGATCCTGACTTGGCATCTCGACTACAATCATTTTCCCACCAACATAAAATGGCTTCTCTCTGTCTTTTCTATATTTTCATGGCAGTTGTTCTGATGAGTTTTCCTCCTTGGTTCTTCAATCGCATGAATTTACTAATAGATTGGTTACTAGATCTCATTGTTTCATTATTGAAATAGCTAAGTATAATAAATGTATGTTTTATTCCATAGTTTCTTGACTCGTAGTTATCGCCCTTGGAATTTCTATTCTGCCAATCGCTATCTTCTATTTTCTTGAATCATGTCTTTTTATTGTCCTTTCTCCTCACTAATGTCTTTTCATTCTCTTTCGCTACCAGTAAGCCATTGCATTATCGCTTTTCTTGGGGTAAAATATATTTTTTTTAAATTAGTCCGACTATAAATAATGTGGCTTAGATGACAGAACATTATATTCTTTCTTAATGTTTTCAATATATATATATATATATGTGTGTGTGTGTGTGTGTGTGTGTGTGTGAGTGTGTTTGTGTCTGTGTCTCTGTGTGTGCAAATATATAGAAAAATAAGAAAGAACACGTTAGGTTGTAGCGAAGAAATCACATTTTTTTTAAATAATTATAATATATATATGTTGTTGTGTGTGTGTGCGCGCGCGTGCAAATATATAGAAAAATAGGAAGGAAAACGTTAGGTTCTAACGAAGGAATCATATTTTTTAAAATAATATAATATATATATATATATATATATATATATATATATATATATATATATATATGGCGATACTCGTTTGGAAAAACCTCGGATAGCTTAACTTGTAGTAGAACAAATCGGTACCGGAGGAAAATAGGAAATAAAATAAGAAAAGAACCAAGAACATTAAAACAAGGCGAAAACAATCATCCATTGTTTAAGCTCCAAGTTCAAAGAAGAAAAAACACTAAAATGAGTAAAAAGGGTAAAAGACACCTACGTAATGTGCTCAATACACTAAGTCGAGCGAACCTAAAGTAATCCTAAGGAGCCAGGCAAACCTACCTAGGTTTCACCTAAACGGCTTTATCCGTTTAGGTGAAACCTAGGTAGGTTTGCCTGGCTCCGTAGGATTATTTTACATATATATATATATATATATAATGCCAAAAAATTGTGCTGCAGTAATCAAGGCTAAAGGAAGATATTTTGACCAAAATTTAATCTTTATTTTATAATTTAATAATTTAATTTTATTATGACAAAATTTAATCGTTATTTTAATTTTAATAATTTAATTTTATTATGACAAAAAGAAAAAAAAAACATAATAACATAAAACGTAATAAAATTTCTAATAAAAATACACGTCCCACTTTTTTTGACCATGTATAATATTTTATATTATTATTTAAAATACAAAACAACTACTTTCTGATTTAAAAAAAATTACCAGGGGTTGACGCAAACGTTTGGACTTTTGTGTATATATATATATATATATATATATATATATATATATATATATATATATATATATATATATATATATATATATATATATATATATATATATATATATATATGTGTGTGTCTATTAGCTGATAGATGTTATATTCAGCGCGGTACACGGAGGTTCGAATCCTGCCGGAGGACACATTTTCTTTAGTAAGTTTTATCGAGTGTGAAGACCGGTAGACGAAATAACATAATGTTTAAAATAAACGGAGCGTCTACTCAAGTACGGTTATCCACTAAAAGCAACAAAAATATGCCGGATTAAAAAAAAAATTAATTCTTTTAAAACTTTTACGTTTCGGATACGAAACTAAGCAGATATACCTTTCGAGAAAATCTGATCGCTTGAATGTACTTTAAAAGCAAATAGAACTTTGATTATGAATCTCTTCGTAGATGAAGCAGTCAATTCACGCCGGATCAGATGGCCATTTCTCCTGAAAAGAGGCACGCATGTTCGAATCCTGACGGAAAGCACATTTTCTTTAATAAGCGTTCTCGATTAACACTATTTACGTTCAGACTATTGCCCTCAACTTTGTTGTTGTTATTACAACGTTTCGATCGTTTTAGTCTTCCGGCAATGCAAATAATGATAACTCCTCGGCCAAGAAATTTGGACAGAAAAAGTTTTCTCGGGTATGCAGGCCGGTAGATGAAATGTGCGTTGCTTCCAGATACTTCTATCGACTATAAATGTCGTCACGTTCTTTAAACTCGACAATGAATTCACATTGAAAAAACAAACTTCAATTGCATCAGTGGTTTGTCCATTTTTTTGACCTTTTGTTTGATTTCTCTGTCTCTCTTTAGCTTTTTCATTCTTTTTTTGACCTCTCTCTCTTTACCTTTTCTGTCTTGTATTTTATTTGAATTCTCTCTCTCTCTTTCTCTCTCTCTATTTAACTTTTTTCTTTTTTGTCCTTTTGTTTGACTTCTCTCTCTCTCACTCACACACTCTTTACCTTTTTCTCTGTTTTTGATTCTTTTGTTTGACTTCTCTCTTTCTTTACCTTTTTCTTTCTTTTTTTTGTCTTTTTATCCCTTACATCATTCATTATCTCTTTTGCTTTTATCTTCATCACGTTCCATTTTAATTTTATCTATTTCCTACCCTCTTTCTTTCTATTTTTATCTCGTCCCCACTTCTCTTACGCTTCATCTTTCTTTAAGTCTCTGTCCAGTCAGTTTAACGGATATATGCGAAGAAAACGCAATCGACAATTCGAGTTCAAATTCCGGCCAAGTCCGTTGCGTTCGCTTTCACATTAATGCGCTTTGAAAAGGCATTAATTCATCTCTTATTTGATCCCAACAACACCTTAGCCTTGGATGGAAATCAGACTAGGAGAATGATTACTCTGAATTCAAATCCTTGGAAAAAGTAATGGGAAACTACTTTCTGTTTGAATTTCTACATTATTTACATGCTAACCTTTGTCCTTATCTTTGTTGTTATCACAGCGTTTCAGCCGCTGAGCTCTCCGACCTTCATCCTAGTGACAAAATTCCCCGTAAGTTACCCGAATCGACATACACCTGATGAAGGCCAGAGGTCGCAACAACCGAAACGTTGTGATTACAACAACAAAGATAGGGACATTAGTGCGCATGTAAATAATGTCGGTATTTTTTTTTTTTTAATTCATGGCAATTTACAGATATAAAGCAAAATGAACTTGTGGAGAGCCATGATCTTTTATGCTCTGATGAGACATGACATTTTTAAGGTTTGCATATAAAATATACTTTAATACCAAAATATTAGTATTTAATAAATGTACAAAATGTACATTTGTCGTGAACTGGACCAAATATGGAACGGCTTACGGCCACATTACATTGAAACACTGATTGCCGTGCGATCACCAACGTTAAACAATGTTGAACATGATCAGTAATTAGATGGGTGATCGCTTGGAAATACCAGGTGCTGTCGGCTTGGATGTGCGGGTGGCGTAATGGATAATGGCTCAGAATTGTTAGTCGGAGTGCCAAGTTCCAATTCCTGTTGAATTCATTATATTCACTTACGCGCAAATACTCTTGGGAAAGGCATGAATCCGACGTTTCTTTCCCCCGATATGAGTTAATTAGCAAGACTCTTATTAATAAATCATTATTATCTAAAAAAAAAAATCTTACAATATAAAACTATTTTCTGGCTTTAAATAACCCGTAAAGTGTTGATAATAAATAAAAAAACTAATCAATCAAATCATTTTTTTTATTTCTAACGAAATTTTTCTGTTTCTTAATACTTTGCTGTGTTTTCTGAAGGCATCTTTTGTCATTCAAATGCAGACATCAATATCTTATTTACCCTCATCGGTTAAAACACTTCTCATATATTTCAATTTCTTCTCTCATAAGCGAAAAGAAATGTGTTTAAAACCTTGTTAAATGGAGAAATAGGATGAAATTCCAGCCATATTTAATATAACACCGAACAATATGTGTTTAAATATTCCCTGTTGAAGTGAAAGGGTCCAATTGGTCTTACAAACGGTCAAATACGGTTGATTCTTGTGGAAATTATTCACTTCAAATCATCAGCAGTGAATTAGTTCACTTCTTAGAGTAACGAATGCCGCACCATTAATGTAACCCTGTACCAAACATTGCTTTGTTGTACAGAAGAAAATAGCGACGTATCTCGGCGGCCAAAGTGCTCTCGTGTCGCACGTTATTCTTGTAAAAAATAGAAAACTACCACTCCACTGGGCGAGGTCAGCGAATATGCAAATCCGTTTCACTCCTAGCCAATCGTAGTGTAAGTGTCACCAAGTTGAATAGACTACTTTAAAGAAAATGCAAATCTATTTCACTCCTGGCCAATAGTTAAGCGAAGCACGTCGAGTAGACTACCTTAAAAACTGCTATTTTTTTGTTGTTGTTGTTGTTTTTTTTTTGTCTATCATGTTAATAGTGAACTTCCCGTGGGTAGCTGTGAGTTCATAACTTACTTGAAATTTCATTCGTCCTTTTATATTCTTTCAACATGAATCAATACTTTTTTTCTATGGTGACTTTTCAAAGTGTAAGATATGGACAACTAACCTTTTGGCCGTTGTAAGCTCCGGCCTTCTTCAGGTGATTAGAATTTCGAACCGAACCCTTTACTTCGTCAATCGGGGTAGAGTGTTCTAGTTTCATGTGCCATGCCTCTTTCGGATGTCTCAGTTAACTCAAATCTCAGAGTTTTGGTTCGCCACTGATGTGGCCTGGTATTGAACTCACAACTGGCGGAGCGTACAACGGCAGAAGCGTTGCGAATATGGCAAGGATAATGAGGATAACAGTCCGAATAATGTAAATAATGCAAATAATCATATTACCTCATCTCAGAGATATAGACAGATATGGACAACTAACTCGCATATGTCGTTTTTTGTTTTTTACTTATCTGTATATTGCATTGATATACAAGAATTCTAGGTGCTATGATACTATTCCACTCCCCCATCAAAACAATATATATCTAGTTTCCATTGAAATTTGCATTTCGATATTTAAATTGAACGTCTAGAAACTAGAAAATCAATATTAACATTTTTTTTTAATTTAATACAAATGTAAGAACCAATAATATTAAACGGGATATAAATCCGTAGTGATTTGAACATTTGAACAAAAATCTGATTCTTTGAATCCACATAAACTCAGCAAAGTCATCATCATCCTATTTCGACTATGCATCCAAGTTATATTCAGCACGGAGCGCGGTACACGGAGGTTCGAATCCTGCCGGAGGGTACATTTTCTTTAGTAAGTTTTATCGAGTGTGCAGACCGCTAGACGAAATAACATAATGTTTAAAATAAACGGAGCATCTACTCAAATGCGGTTATCCACTAAAAATAACGTTTGAAGCAACAAAAATATGCCGGATTTAAAAAAAATTATTAATTCTTTTGAAACTGCTTTGTTTACGTTTCGGATACGAAACTAAGCAGATAAACCTTTCGAGAAAATCTGAACGCATGAATGTACTTTAAAGGAAAATAGAACTTTAATTGTGATGCTCTTCATCGAACAGTCAATTCACGCCGGATCAGATGGCCATTTCTCCTGAAAAGGGGTACGCATGTTCGAATCCTGACGGAAAGCACGTTTTCTTTAATAAGCGTTCTCGATTATTTACACTATTTACTATCAGACTATTGCCTTCATCTTTGTTGTTGTTGTTGTCACAACGTTTCGATCGTTTTAGTCTTCCTGCCTTTATATGCAAATATGATAACTCCTCATTTCAGAAATTCGGACAGAAAAAGTTTTCTCGGGTAGATGAAATGTACGTTGCTTCCAGATAGTTCTCTCAACTATGAATGTCGTCACGTTCTTTAAACTCGACAATGAATTAGTACAGAAAATCCTCTTTGCATCCACATAAACTCTGCAAAGTCATCATCCATCATAATATATATTATTTTTCGCTGTCCAAAGATTCTGCGATTTCCACTATGCATCCAAATTATATTTCATCAAGAATCTCTAAATACATAGCAGAAGCACCAGAGCAGATTGAATGCATGGACGAATGGTAGATTTATAATGGGAGATCTATATATAATTCCCTCGGTACACCTTTAGAGTATTAAATTTTCCAAGCCGTCTCTAATGAAGTGGGTGTGCCAATTAAATGATACCACGAGACTTTAGTCTTCATTACTTAACATTTTATTCATTTCAATATTTTGTTATTTACACCCTTGTTCAAATTAATTGAAACAAAATGAATAATCCCTTTATTATTTACTTCTTTTTCGTATTTTTTCAATGAAACATAACCCAGTGCACATGTTAGTACTTCGTATGTCCATTCCACGAAGTTGTTTCTTGCAGATTGACCACAGATTCTTGATTGGATTTAAATCAGGAGAGATTCCGTACCAATCTATAGTACTTTGATTTGCTCACTGGTAAGGCTTGCCTGTGTGTTCGTACAGCATTACAATTTTCGTACGTTTCCTTGGAGTAACGCCCATCGCAGACAATGGCCGTAAGACAACTAATCGACAGTCAAGATAATAGTGTCTGGGAGTGATAAAAATGTGATGCAATCACGAATGAAGTAATTTTTTTCAAGTCCAAACAAATTTCATCATACATTCCAAAAATAGATCACTATTACTGCACACCACTGCAAATGACCTAATCGGAGGAAAAAATAGAAATGGATAACAGCCTGTCATTTCAGTGGTTCTAAAACTGACTGTGTGTTGAAAGAAACGAAACTAAAGCAGTTGTTTCAATTAATTTGCACAGGAATGTACTCTCAACCAGTTTGTGGTTTTCGGTCCGATACGCGAGACCTGCATTCTTCGTCTTCGGTGTGTGAGAGACTACCCAATCATCTCTGGTATGGTTGTTTACATATCCATCTGTCCAACGTTCTTATTCGCACGCTTGCGATACCAGATGCAGGTGCGAGATTATGTACTTCTACATATAGTGGATGGGAGTAATACCAGATCAACCCCGAACCTGGCTTCCTTTGACGGTCTAGCGTTAAATTTGAGCGCAGTGTCTAGTCTGGTATAATACCACACATTTTTCTTTGCAATTTGTTCTACCCACGCTACATCACTGGAAAGAACTATAATTTCTAAGTTTCGTTCAATCTCTGCTATCAGTACAATGTCATCTGCGCATCGTATGTTGTCAGTATTCTTAATACAATATCCTGTCAGGATGTGAGCAACCATGATTCACTACAGATTTATTTTATCTTTATCATCTTTGAATTGTCGTGTATTCATGAGAAATATATGGCGGTTTCCCGTTACTTTATCCACAGTTTGGTGTTCAGAGTAATCCTTCTCCTCGACTGGCTGACACCCAAGGCTAAAGAGCCCATTCCACTTTGATATTTAACGCACAGCTTGAAAGTGAAGAAATGGATCCATGCTTTTTCCAATGGCATTTGTGAGTTGTGAACTCAGCGAAGTAGGCTGGTAGTGATATAGAAATAAATAAAAATAAATGTTAACAAGAAAAACAAATAGTCCGAATAATGTATAGTGTACATAATACCTCATCTCAGAAATACAGACAGATACTGAAGAAAAACAAAATTTCACCGTCTCTAAAATCGACGGATAATCAGAACCGCCAGGCCACAAAAACCAAATTTCGACCAACCAATTAGAAAGGATATAAGAAAATAAATAAACAAATAATAAAGAGATCAAAATTTCGCCATCTCTACAAATAGAGGTATATATAAAATCGCTACAAAGCCATTTCGACCAATCAATCAGCTTTCACAGTCAGCATATAAGGGCGCAATTTCAGTGTGAAGCATAGCGGCCTTTTCTGTAGATGTGTATGCAACTAGATGGAAAATCAACTAAAACCAGAATCGACAAATAAATTTTATCTATTCTCTGATGCTGTGGTCATATTAACATGGCCAAAGAGGAAATACAATACTTGCACGACTAGTTGGTGACTTTAGACGGCTAAACCATTCCTAGCTACATTTGAAAAACATAGATACTTTCTTTCTCCACCTTTCTAAGCACCCCGCTGATACATTTGAAAACAAACCTACGATTACATTGCAAGCAGTCGGCTAATACATTCGGATGATGATTTTCACTTCTTTGTAGAAAAAGGCCATCTCTTCACTTGGTAACTTTTTTTGTGTTTTTCATTCAGGATTTTCTAATTTCTTTCATTTTTATCCGAGCTAACGCTCTGCTGTGGGCTCGTAAGTAATTCTTAAGGCCAGCTTCACTTTTAAAACTTCCCTTATACACATGGCAAACATAAAATTCGTCTGTGTTACATACGTTGGAAACTTGCCTGTCCCCGTGTACAATCATGCGATGCTTGAGTCCCGCAATAGACTTACAAACTTTATTACAAAACCGGCACAAGTAACCTTCAGTAACCTTTCTTATATCCTTTCTAATTGGTAGGGTTATATTCACAAGAGTTTTCACCTTACCTCTGCGTTGAGATCTTACGTGTCTGTCTGAACCAGCCGCCATTATGGTGACTTTTCAACAAATACTGCAAGTGTGTTGGTGCCCTAATAGCTCTGGAACATATTCCATTAATTTCTTTATAATGGCGCCATTTTTATTAGAATGCTCAATTCTCTTCTGCTCAGAATTTTTACCGCGTTCCCAAAATCAACCTTCTCCAGCAACAGTTTTCCAGTTTTTAACATTAATGTCAAGAGTCTTTAAGTTACATTTAACTACATCCTTGAAACGTCTTTTGGCTTTATTAACAGTTCGATTACCTTGTACCAGTTCACCATATAAAGATCTTCTGCATCAAGTGTATAAAAAAAATTAAATTACACGAAGTTCATACTTGCCTTTTCGCGCAAAATGTAAAAATGTTAACTCTCTACCAAATCTAGTGCTTGCGTCAAAAACAAAACCTAGTTGGTAGAAATAAAAGAGGGAAAAGGGAACATGTACTTTTCTTCTTGAGGTCAAAATAGAGTCAATAACAAAATAAAACTCAACCACTGTGTAAAATTCTAAGGGAAAACATTTAACACGCAATTAAAGGCAAAAAAGGGTATAATACAAAATTTACACAAAAATGTCCTTTTCTGCGCTTATTACGACAGGATAAGAAATTTTCGAACTTTACAGACTCACTTGCAACAAAATAACTTTGAAAATTTTCAGACTCACAATAAAATAACTTTGAAACTTTGCAGATTCCCTTGCAACAAAATAACTTTAATTTTGAAACTTTTCAGACTCACTTACAACAAAATAACTTTGAAACTTTGCACACTCCCTTGCAACAAATCACATCGAACTATTGATCTCTTGTAGCGGACCGTTGGGTGATGAGTATGTATTGTAGAAGAACACATGTGGGTAGAATTTCCCGCTAGCCGGCCCAGCTACATGAGAATGTAAGTCCAAAGATAACAAACAAGACCGATAATTATATATAAACAAATATATTGTATTAACAACAAGTACAAGTTACAAGCACATGGACAGTTATATTGAGTGCGTGTGGTGAATATTATGTGTGTGTGTTGTGGTGAGTGTTCGTAAGTCCGTGTATTGTTCTTAGCGTGTTCCCAGAATTTGGGAAACGCTGTATCTGTGAGAGCTCACATCCGCGAGGTGGTATAAGGCCCAAGGCCTGAGGAAAAAAAGAGATCGAGGCAAAGGATCACCCAGTATTTATAGCCATAGGAGAGAGACCCCTGTTGAAGGATTAAGGAACTGGGGGGGGGGAAACTAACCCCGACACTCTTCATGGCTACAACAAAGAACATGTAAATATAAATGTCGACTGTATAAATGTTATTGTCATATTTAACTTGATTTTCTTCATTTTCTGCAAAGATCATTTCTTCACGTTGTTTACAATTTTGTATTGTAATTAGTGGACATGACACTCGGATTTTATTTTTCCATCTAGAATGACCCCACAAGAGTCACACCAGCTCCATCCAAATTTCCACAAGGGCTTGAGAGAAGGTGTTGCAGACCCGATAGGGTGCAGTGCTGGTTTATTACGAAGTGGCCTTGTGCCAGACACCACACTAAACTACCGAGTCTACAAGTAAAGTAAAAAAAATAAAAATGTGTGAATGAACAGTGAGAGGAAAGGGTCAATCAACAAGTGCATAAAATAAAATATATTAAGATAGCCGGCACAGAATGACAGAAAAAGACTGGATTCCAACAAGAGTAATTTTTATTAAATGCAGGAAAAACAAGTAACTTATCCCGTAGTAGGGATCAATGAAAATATTCCGCGCCAAAAATAGAAACAAGATGGCTATGGCGGGAAAGGTTCTTGAAGGAGAAGAAGGTTCCAGATAAGTCAATGTACATGATAATATACATACAAGGAAAAATACTCACTGCGAGTTTTTTGCTAATGTGAGTGAAATGTTATGTATATATTTTTTTTCCTTTTTTTGGTACTGGTTCAAAACAGATTTATGACGAGGCCAAAAGGGACGAAAAGTCAATACTTAGAGTTGCATCGTCTCGTAGGAGAATTTTTGAATGACGAGCCAAAAAGGACGCAGAATTAATTATTTGGTGGTTTTATTGGTTACCTGTTGAATACGAAGTTTCTGCCGACGACTGTGTCGTGTCTCTAACGTTTCTGGTCGAAAACGGAGAAGGTCTGATCTGCGATTAGCAAGTTGTTCGTCAGTAGGATATCCCTGTCTGTATTTATTGGTTCGCTGACGAGGGATAAAAATAAGCCATTATTAGTTGAATACGAAGTTTTGCTCACGACCGTGTCGTGTGTCTCTAACGTCTTCTGGTCGAAAACGGAGAAGGTCTGACCTGTGGGCAGCTTCAAGACGAGAAGAAGTCTTGGTAGAGTGTGAAGTCGCCATTGTTGAAATAAGATATTCCGGCCCGCATATGGGTTAAGGGCACGGAATAAATGAGTTGCCCATCTAGTCAGGTCGAAAGTCTAGAGGCAACTGCTTGCAAACGCTAGCAGTTTTGAGACGCCGAAAAACGCGCGGGAAAAATTCAAAATCTGTTATGAGTCCATCAGTAGGAGCTAGCGAGGTTACTGCTATGTTTAGCTGTGAGTGGAAGGTAGGGGTGAAAACACGCGCACACACACGAACGAGTGTGAAAGGAAGGGAGGAAACTCGCGCGCGCGTAAAATATAAATGGAATTAATGTGTTAATTCCATAAAGGACTCTAACCGGCCAATAAATATGAAAACTTATTTCTCCATGAATTTAAAAAGTGAATCCACAACAATTCACAAATAATTTTGGCGGTTCTTTAACCACTAATTCTAAAACAGATTTCCACACAACTGCAACAATTTATTTTTACAACCCGTCTCGCTCTAAAACAAAAAAAAATACCTTTGCATTTCATTTTAAAAAAGAAAACCTAAACGATTGTACATTTATTTACTACACTAAATTATAAAGAATAAATATTTTATAAGTAAGCCATCCCTAGAGAGTGCACTTTTGGATACATACATACATATATATGTGCATATATATTTACAATACATTCTCTTGGACGCATGATAAAGATTCTCTTTCTCACATGCGCCAGAACTTTTACACTTGAAACTTTAACTTTCACCTTATCTTTCTACATTATTATACTGTGTTATATAAAGATTTATTTTGTGTTTTTCAACACTTTATACATTTTCTTTTTATACAACGCCAATATACGCCAAGAAATCAATTATATCGATATATGGAGGTAACTGACGTTGTCAGAAGCTAACCTCCACAAAAATCCTGCATAACTGATTTCACCGATTATCTCTCGTATACTTTCACAAAACACAACCACTATAGGTCTGAACTCATATCGCTAATTACATTTTTTCACCCATCCCAAAACACCCAGATTATGAAGATTATATCCTCTGCTGACATTCATAAATTTGTTTTTGTACAAATTTATAAATAAATGCAACGTCAATCACCATATTCTATCTTGAACTCCATTCAGCTTTTATCTTTTCCTCGATCCCAACTATTTTTAAACTATTTAACTAGTCTTTTTCTTCATTTTCGCTCTTAGTCTTTAGAGGTATTCCCGCCTTGATTGGACTGAAATGATTAAAAAAAAAAAAAAAGTCCCAATGGAAAAACATACAATTTAAATTAGTTGCAAGAAGCAAGGGAAGTAACTCTCTATTTTCCTTTTAATTACCTCCCTTGAAAACGATCTTCTATACCTGGTGAGTAAATTTAGTCACTGCTTTAGAAAGTCCTTGAAATTCAGAGGTGAGTTTGTCATTGTTTTTTTTTTCTTCATTTCACTTTGAAATATTTTATCAATACAGATTTTTTCTTTAATTCTTTCTTTAATTCTTAATAATTTAGTTTATATGTTTTTATATTAAAACGAACAGTTCAGTTCCATTTTTATATATAGTATTTTTCTGTTGTCTTTCCAATACGATAAGAAGAGGTTCCCGTTTGCCCCATATTTATTTTTAAAAATGTCTTTTTACAGACTCACTTTCTTTAAAAATAAATCTATTCAGGAAATAATTTTCCTGACAGTAATTTCTCCAATATGTATTTAAGTTAAGTGTGTTTTAACTTATTTTTTCCAATGTAGATTTACACATTTTTTTTTTTTTTTTTTTTTCGATGAAAGAACGAAGTGCGATTTCCAACGACTCTACCTCTGAATTTCACTAAGCCAAGATTATTTTTTTTAAATTCTAGCAAAAATAAAAGAAATGAATTAAAATAAAATCCTCAAGGTTGGTCAAAAACGAAAAATTCGATCCATTTTCAAGCACAAATAATATTTAAAATTTCGATTTATTTATTTTTTTTTTTTTTTAAGTTGTAAAAAAATCTTTTTGACTGGAGGAAATGATTGAAAAAATATTTTATTGTCATTTAATTTAATAATCTTAAATAAAAACACACTACCCAAACTGATAAATGTTTCTTGTTGATGGACGCTTTTTCTGATAACAGTAAAAAGTGTCCGTTTTGTTGCCATTATTATTTCCAAGAGTTTGTCGTTGTTCACCTGTTCGGTCCATGTGTTGCGCAGTGAATGGTTACTTGAATTATAGATCAGAAGGATATTTTTTTTGTGTTGGCTTAGCATAGTGAAAATAAACTTCTTCACAAACATTTAACTTTGGGTATGGCACAAGGTCATTAATGACAAAATATAAAACAACGATATATTTTCTAATAACAACAAAAACATTTATATCAACAATATACAAGAAAGACTGAAGAATTAATTTACTCAGGTAATTTAAACTGAGTTGCAAATTGTTACAAAGTGTATGCTAATATGTAGCAGTTACAATTAATAATATAACATGAGTTATAAGAGAAAAATTTTTTATCTGAACTCACAGAAAAGATTTCAGTTCATGAAATAAAGTTCAATCTCAGTGAAAGAAATGTTCTTCGATAAGATGTTGTTGGCCGAAATTCCTGGTAAAATGAGTTCAAAGAAACTTATTGATTAAGAGAAAATATAATTTTCAGTTGAATATCGAAAAGTTGAATTAACTTGCCACTTAGATTGTTTATCAAAGAGAGTTGAATATGAATGAAAGAATTCTGGGAAGCTGAGAATATGTCGAATTGTAACTTATAGCGCCAGAAGATTTTGAAGTAAATAAGTTTCTGTTGCTTGTAGTTGATGAGTTAAGATATTCAATGTTCATATGTGCGTGTGTCATAGCATTTTCCCTTAAAGGGACAAATGTTATTTCTTCACTGCTACATCATGTATGTGTGAGAGAAGGCAAAAGAGGAAGAATAGAAAATGTCGCTAGTATTTATAATGTTGTATGTCATGTGATAGGCCCAAAACATTAATTTTAACCATGCAAACATAGCAGAAAACATGATATTGGCATTAATTGACCAATCAGGAGTCAGAGAAGTATAAAAGCTCTATGATCACATTTTTACAGATTTTGTTGATCACATAGGAAATGTATTGGAATCTTTTTTAGCCAATGGAATTAGGTCACAAATAAAATATTAAATTGAAGTTGGACACTAAACATGGTTTTCTCAGCATCCTTCTGTAGAACTACATTTTTGTTGTTTTAAGCCTCTTCATCTGTGAGGAGATTGTCCTGAATTCACTGCTATATAGGAGGGCTGATACGACATAACAGTTAAGTTAGGTACCTCCACGAGATCGCTAAAAAAAGAGCATAGCATGATGAAAAAGACGCCAAACTTGACGAAAACAAAATTTTATCGTCTAAATGTTTGTTATTCATTAAGAGGAAAGGTCAAAGTATTTTGGGGGTATTTTTTTCCATTTTTTAATCGTTCCTAGCACGTCCGAAATTTTCGTTAAAAATCTAGTTTTTTTGAGTCAGCAAAATTGACCATTTTTTTCCATTTAAAAAAAAATGGAAATCTGACTTTGAAATTTTTAAAATATCAATTATCATTTTTCAAAACTTATTTTAAGAAAATCAGAAATTATAATGTTTATTTAAAATATTTTGAACCAAACTTAACTTAGCTTTTGTAAAAAAAAGATGTAATTTGAAAATAAAACAAAGCAGGTCATAAACTTTCGCGTCTCTTGACATGTGATGAATGATATATTTATGAATTCCATGAGGCTAATTTGTTCTCACGGAAGGAGAAAAGTGAAATAATTTACGTGAACAAATTATTTACCCCGTTATTTTTAACGAAAACTTTCAGCGGTCTAATTTTTTTTTTTTTTTTTTTTTGTACTTAGCTTTCACCTTTACGTTTATGATGCTTTATGGGAAATATATTCTAAAGAAATTAAAATAAAACTGTTAAGAGTGACATTAAATTTCATATTTCTTAAGAAAGGTATCTAATAAATTTATAGGTACCTTTCTTATGAAATTTTATCAGAATTGTACATAAAATACTATAATTTTATGTACATTTATTACATTCTACTGTTATTTGTATTTGCATTCATTTTATTAATTTTGATATTTCATTTATGGAAAAATGTCGTAACTGAGATTAATATAAAAATAAGATCATATAAATTTCATAAGATGATACTGATACTTGTAGGTAACCATCTCAGTTGAAATTAAAAATCAAATTAACTTCTCCACACGTGTTTACAAAAAGTAAAAGGCCTTAACAGCGGAGAACAATGCTTAACTCAAATAACGCAACTTAATTATATTCTGGTTGGTCTTCCGTATTTTATAATTACAGCTCGATTATAAGCACGAAATTACATTTCTTAATTACTGGGGATCTTCTGATTAGTCAAAATGATACAATTTACAACGCTAAAAAAGATCTATCTCATAAGGACACTTATGAAAGCCTGTGTGACTTTTTAACTAATTTTATAATATTTTAACAACTTAAATGTAAAATCTATTATAATTAATGAAATAACAAATAATTGTATTAAAATTCATTTTCATCGAAAAATTTTTTTGCTTTCAGAAAATATTGTCCATATTCATAAAAACAACTAAAAGCAAATAAAAGCATTTGAAATTAAATAATATCTTTGTTTTATTGAGTTTTGTATGTTACAATTCAGAGCTGATTTTCAGGTACTGCGTATCCAATTAAAAAAAAAAAAAAACATTATTTGCATTCCTCAAAGCCCTGTTCTTTTTAATTATTGTAATCACTAAAACCGATGCGATCGAATTTCTAGCGTTTTCATAAAATTAGTTATGGGGGGTAATAAATATTTTTAAAAAATATTTCTACCATGACTTTCATAAAAAAAACATATTTATAATAATTTCGATCATCTGTGAATAGTTCCTGAAAGTTTCATTAACATCCGATAATTATTTCTATTTTTGCACGATTTTTCAAATTAATGTGTGTCATACCAAAAAAACGTGCTAAAAATTGTCTATGTTATTTACTAGTTCCGTTGATACAAATAGAAACAAGGTTTTTTTAATCAAAATTTAGAATTTTCTAAAAAGAAGGAAAATTTTTTTAAAATAATTAAAAAAAAAACTTTGGTCTTTCCTCTAAATAATAACATAAGCATTTTGACAATAAAATTTTGTTTTCGGCAAGGTTGGCGTCTTTTTCATCAAGCTATGCTCTTTTTTTTAGCGATTTCGTGGAGGTACCTAAGTTAAGTACTGTTTTCTTTGTATCTAATCTTTCTCCTTTTCTTAATACTTCACTTAGCTTTCGGAAAGCGTCCTTTGCTATCTTAATGTACCTTTGGATTTTACTGTCACGCTTTCCATCATCTTAATATGCTTCCCAGACATCTAAATCATTGCAGCTGTTTGATTTCATTATCTGCAATTTGCATGTTGGGCTGTTCCTTTTGCTAATCGCCATGCACTTAGCCTTCTTGCAATTGATGTTTAGTCTTTTCTCACTTTCTTTCACTATGGGTAAAATAAGTGGCACATATATAAGGTTTGTGTTCATGTTTATAGGTTTAAAAAAAAAAAAAAAAGACAAAACTCCCAATGCAAATTTTCTGTCCATTTAAGACAAAATCTAATTTTGTCCATAAGTTATTTATAGATAAAGTGATTAAGAAACTGTAATGATAGCAACAAATGAATCAATAAATAAACCCCAACCCTTATGGCTAGACTGTATGTAGTAGTCTAGAACAAAATTAATAATAATAAAAAAAGAAGAAAAATTAAAAGTTGAACAATAAAAATACTTTAAAATACAAATAAATCAAAACAATAAAGATAAAGACAATAGTCTCCATGTAAATATCTCCTCATCCTAGAAATTCAGACAGAAAAACATTTTGATTTAACTTTCTTCTAGAAAATGACAATCTTTCCATTTTTCAATGAGTTGGTTTTCCTGTCTAAATCAATACTTGATGTTTGGCTAAGAAATCTATGAATTATCTCAGTTTTCCATTCCAGTTTTAAATTTTTACACACTTAAAACCCACTAGCAGATGCTCTCACTAAAAGTCCCTGTAAATTTAAATCCAGGTCAGCCTAAATGATCAGTCTGTTTTCTTTTATATATTTTTTTCATCATTATACCCCCAAGCAAGGCAATAATGCCACTCTGATGCTAGAAGTTACTGAGTGTTAAAGAATATGAGGAAAAATACTATTAAGGAGAGAGGACAATAAAAGAACAAAAATTAAGAAGACAGAAGATAACACCTCACATTGTATTTAAATTTTTGAAAATCAAAGTTGATTGGGAAGCAAGAAGCCAGAAGAGAGATCCACAAGCGAGAAGTGCGAGAGAAGAAGCTGTTAGCACAGAACTTACAGTTACATCTAGACATTTCAAGTGTACAATAATGAGACCTTGCCACCAGTCTAGTATTGCGCCTATTTTCATAAAATCTAGGTACCATAACGAAAAGCTGATCATAAAAATTACCATGAAAGTATTTATAGAAAAGGCACAGGGAAGCTACATTACAGTGGTCATGAAGCTGAGATATCAGGACCAATGACATTGCAGATTCACTAGACATGGATAAACATGCCCACAATAAGACAGAGTATCAAAACAATGATATTTCCCATGATACCACTTTCTTAACACTCCTACACTCTTCGGCAATGTTATTTTAAAAAACAATGATTGGAGTTGTAAGAAAGCCTAAATGTATGATGAAAGTGAATTTATACATTTTCTTTGTTCTTGAGAATTGATAACAAAAATAAACGCTATTCAATTGTTTATTTACATTATTAGAATGGTTGGCAAAATATTGGTTAATTGTCAGTTGATTCCAATTTTCTAAAATGGTAAATAAGCATTTCCTTATCATTGGTTCCCATATTTTAATTTAGCAAATTTTTATAAATTCATGAATTAAAAATTTTCACATTTATATCTTTTATAAATTGATAAATGATAAATATTGAATTGCATTAGTTCTAATTGTATTAATTTTTAGAATGTCGTAAATATAAAATTATTCTTGAAAATAAACAATCTAATAAATAGTCGATCATTTTTATTGTCAATTCTCAAGAACAAAAAAAAATCTATAAATAAATTCTATAAATCATTCTCATCATGTATTTAGATTTTTATTACAATTCTGATCTTCACTTTTTAAAACATTGCCGAAAAGTGAAAGTAGTTAGAAAGAAAAATTAGTGTCACGGGGGGAAAACCGTCCTTTTAATTATGTCGTATTGTGGGAACGTTTGTCCATGTTTGCCATAGATTCTTCTTTGGATTTTATCAAGAATCTCTAAATATATAACAGAAACATTGCACCATATGTGGCAGTAATATTCAATGCATGGATGAATGGTAGACTAATAAATATGTAAGATAGATTCTGGTGAGAGAACAACACAGAGCAGATCTAACAGTTGATTCAATATAATCTATTCAACTTCATGTCAGCGGAAAACAACAGTCTGAGAAGATGCAATGTCTCTCTTCTGGGGGTCAGCATCTACTGTGCAACAAATTATTTTTATTATAGAACTTTGAAACTTTAATGTTTATCGACTAATATTTTATTTAATTGTTTATTTCTGTAATTTGTGAGAAATTTCTTCTTTTTTTTTTTTTCCATGTTTTCTTTGCTGGTGAATGGAATGATGTTTCAAGCCAACTTCTAGATGGTCATGAGAAACAGTGAAAGCAAACATTGTCTTGGAGCAGCTAATGGGATATCTTTCAAGACATGACTTCATACATTCCAAGTGCTTAAGTCAATTTGGATTCCACGTTTATTTTAACGCCTCATTTGTATTTCAGATAGGTTTCTATATCATTTTGGATTAATATCCTTAATTTTCTTTTTATTATAAAAACAGAGTGATAGACACCTAGAGAAGACTGTAGAATACAATGTGTGAAATGTTGTTATAATAACAACAAAGATGAAGACTTTAGTCCAAATGTAAATAATGATTACTCCTTGTACAAGAAATAAAGATGGAAAGCATCTCTATATAGTTCGATCATTTCTTTACATTAAAAACATTGGTCTTCAAACTTCACCTTGCACATTGTGTTTCTCGGGGTGAACTATTTCAGACCATTTTCTATGAATCAACACCTACATGATAACACGTCACATGAACCCAGTTTCTTACTCTCCATTTTTCTCGATTATTTTCCAGGCTGAAAAAATGTCGGTGGCACCTTTTATTTACACACCGCTTACCAAAGTCACAGAGCACTGGCTGACTCACCAGTTCAGCAGATGTGCCGATTTTGAACAAGACTTTTACAGGTGCATTTCTCGAATTGGCTACAACAGGTTCCACATGACTGAGGAATGTCATAAAGAATATGATGACTTCAAGGAGTGTACAGCCAGAATAAAGCAGGTAAGACGATAACTATACAAAACCCTGAAATATTAAAATAGTCAAATAGAAACAAATAAGCTTGATAAATATTTGTAAATATAATGAGTAGCTATTTCAGCAGCATGGACATTAACAAAAGCATCTGAAAAGAAATTAGATGGTTTATATATATATATATATATATATATATATCAAAGAAAAATACAGAAAAAATGTGTGTGTGTATTTGTGTATATATTAAATTGTGCAGTATATATATCATAAAGAAGTAATTATACAAAGAATTAATTAGCAATGTTAATGTGATTAATGGCGAAGTCACTTCACTAACAAGACTTAATGAGACATTAACTTATCAATTCCTTGAATAACACAGTCCTTATATTTGAATTGTTGCCAGATAGAATTGTAGCTCCTGGGCTGAGTACTTTCGACAATTTCAAACTGTCATCTTCAGGGCATAATATTTCCATTTAAAGGTAAACACCAAGATGAAATACATACCTGTAAATGGAAATATTACGCCCTGAAGATGATGTCTCATTGAGTCTTGTTAGTTAACTGATTTCGCCATTAATCACATTAACATTGCTAACATACACACACTAGAAGGAGGCAGCACTCAAAACAAAAATGCTTTACAGCTATCTACCTCTCATCTTGCAGGTCTTCCAAGAAAGTAGACCCTAATTTACAGGGCATTGCTTAGAGAAATAAGAAATGAGCTAATAAGGTACATGCTTCTAGCAGGGTTCATACAGGTACTGGAAAATTAGCAGGACCTTTTCCAGGGCTTGAAAGCTCCTGGAAAAACAGCATTAGCTTAAAAGCTTCTTGAAAAGTCCTGTAATTTTCTAAATTGGGCTGCCCACAGATCCATTTTCTCAATTCATGAAAGCCTAAATGACAAATCCCAGAAATCTAGCTTTTTTACAAGCTAAAATTTTCCTTTAAGGAAAATATTATTTAGTCATCAGTAATATTTGGCAATTATTGCAAACAAGGTTTGTTTGCTTGATTAGAACAAGTTCATGACCTTGTAGTTCTGTATTTTCTTGTCTAGTTGATGAGGAAGAAGGGGAGAAAGAATATGAAAGTGTGTCTTCTAGCTGCTACCCTCACTCAAGAAAAAAAGAAGTAAAGCAAAGATAAAAGACATCTTCATCAAAGATAAATTAATTGAATTGTAGTTGAAAGGTAAATAATTATTTTATAGTAATAAAATACATTTTAGTTTAGTGGAATCTGGAAAAATTTATCAGTGTTTTTTATAACTTGATCAACTGAAGAAATTTTATTCACATGTCAGTTTCAAAAGTACAAAATTTATTTTGATCTCTTGTCAGTGATGGGGTGAGTTCATGCTGAAAAAATAGATACTTTATGCATCCCATGTCAATGTGTGGTTTATCTATCTGTAAAGTACGTTTGTCTAAATTGTTGCCAAAAGTAACAAGTTTAATAATCAAATTTGACGAGAAGGATGACAATAGAAAATGTGCCTTTGATGTGTATTAAGATAGAAAATGCACCTTTGAAAAAATAAGAATTATTATTTTTAACGTTTGCAGGCTAATAATTACCTGTATCTTTAGCTTTTATTGTAAATGTGAAAAAATGATGAAATTTATGTTAGACATTTTGACGGTCGTCTTCGAGTATAGAATCCAGGGGTTAGCAGTGAATATTTCGAAGACAGTAGGGAAGCATTGTTCAGGTTAGCAGTGGATATCGTAGCAGAGCGTAGTACTTCCTTCTGTCATTTTTGCCTGACAAGTTGGCACTGGTCATTCGGGTAGGGTAAACAAAAATGGCCGCCTTTATACACGACGAATACAATGTTCTGCGGCTTCTGATTGGTTAACCTTCTATTGGTAGACTATAAAGTGAGTCAAGGCATTTGAACTAACTCACTAGTTATAGTATATACACAAAAACTGTATCAATTTATTCAGCTTTTATTTAGATACCTCCACTTTTTCGCTGAAAAACCTGCATAACCAAAAGGATGTTTTTTGGGGGTTTTTTTTGGCTTGACACTGCTATTAATGTTGTCCCATTGTCCTGGGGATTGAGGACAACTAATTAGGATTTTTGGGACAATGCCGGAAGAAAAAAAAAAATTTAATTAAAATTCTGTTACATTTAACTGACTTCTTAAAATAAAAATAATTCTTTTTCATTAGTTATAAATTTTTAATAAATGGAGCAAACACAAAGAAGAAGAAAATGAAACCCAAGTGAAAAATGAAGGTTGAACGAATTAAATTTCTATATTTCCATTATTTATTTCTAATCATGAAAAAAAAAATTAGAATCTTATTTTGATACTAATTTGACTTTATTTAAATTTGTGCTAGTGTCCTCATCTTTGTTATTGTTATCACAATATTTCGGCCATTGTGCCCTCTGGCCTTCATCAGGTGTTTATTTGATCCAGGTAACCTACAGAAAACAATAGCTTAATTGATTAAAGCATTGATTTATGAATCTGGTGCCATAGTAATTGTGAGTTCAATCCCTGGGTCAGGTAATGTGTACTTGGACTCAGTGGAAACAGGGCAAGCAATAACTGAGTTGTACTAAAAATAAAAACTAGACAAGAAATCCCTAGACAAGGGCACTGGAATGAGAACAGTGTAGATTAAATAAAGGGTTCAATTTGGAATTTCTTGTAGATTACTTGGATCAACACAAACCTGATGAAGGCCAAAACACTAACAACAATAAAGGACTATAATCCAAATGTAAATAGTGTAAATATTGATAACATCTCATCCCCAAAATTCCAATAATAATTTTGTTTTAATAAACAAAGAACTTACAGCTATATTGCATTGAAACAATGGTTCTCCTTCAATCACCAAAGTTAAGCAACATCAAGCTTGGTCAGTACCTAGAGAAGTAACTGCTTAGGAATACCAGGTACTGTAACCTTGGATGGTGTAATGGATAATGTATTTGAATTGGAAATTGGAGAGCTGAGTTCCAATTCCTATTGGGTTCGTTATATTCACTTACTTATATTCACATGCAAATACCTTTGGGAAAAGTATAAATTCATATCTCCCCACCCAGCTATGGGTTAATTAGTAGGATTTGTATCAGTAAAATCATTATTATTTCCAAAACATTCTTACAATATAAAAATATTTTCTAGCCTTAAATAACTTGCACAAAGTCGATTTTGTAAAAAAAAAAAAATTATATATTTATTCATACTATTTGTATTTGTATTAAAAAGTAGGTCAAAATAAATATTATTTCCTAAACATTTTGATGGTGTTTTTATTTTGCTAATAACAAATGGTAACAAAATTAAAAATTCTGATTCTTGGATGGCTTGAAGTTTGTTTTTTGTTAAGGACATTTGTGGGATAATGGTGAAAAAAGATTTGTCTGGAGACCAAGAATGGAATAAAAATAATTTAATTTTTTTTTAACTTCACTGAAATGTGTTGATAATGATTTTTAATTTTTTATCTCACCTTGAGATGAAATAAATGCAAAACTAGAATAATAAAAATAATTATATAAAAATGCTAAGAAAATGAACTGGAAAAATGAAAAGAAAAACAGCATAAGCATTTTTATGTTTTTTCTATTTTGTCAACTGTAGAAGTAATTAATATCTGTTGGTGTTGTCTTTAATTATATATCCTGCAATTGTAGAATAAAAAGCAAATATATAATATATATATATATATATATATATATATATATATATATATATTTTTTTTTTTTTTTCTTGTTTTATGTATTTCCCTGGAAGGTGATGGAGATTTATGTTGGCTTTTTAAAATTCATTCCTTGAATTGAAACAATTGGGAGGTGGGGAAATGTTTACATATTCAGGAAGTCAGAAAGAATCAAGATGAATGTGGCAGTTGCAAATTCTATGCTGAGATTTTGAAATTGGAGAAAAGGTTGTCTAAAAATGGCTTGTCTATTCAGGTAAAAGCTTCTGCAGCCAATTTGTGCCAGATTTATTTTCATCTTTTAATCATTTTCTTCATTTGTAAATTCATTTTCATTTCAAGATGTCACATTTGTTTCTTTCAATTTCTACTGAGAAATTCATTTAAAGTAATTAAATCAACTTTTTAACCACTTTTATCAGGTTTTGTTTTCGTCAACCAGAAATTAATTTTCTGCAATAAAAATTCTTTTCTTTTTCCCTTTTTCTTTTTCTTTTTCCCTTTTTCTTTTTCTTTTTCCTTTTTTCTTTCTTTCCTTATTCTTTTTTCCTTTTTTTTTTTTTTTTTTTTTTTTTTTTTTTTTTTTTTTCTAATTTACTTACCTGACTTATTTATTTTCTATTTTTTATTTTTAACAGTGGAATGAAAGACCAGATTTGTTTTCTTTCTGAAAAGTGTTATTTATTTATTTTTATTCTTTGGCAGAGAGTGGTCTCACATCTTTCTATTGTTGAAAAGGCCGGAGAATATCTCTGCCGAAACATTATAGTAAAAACAACAAAGATAATCTGACTAAAGTCTAATATAACCTCTATTTGATATTCGTTTTCTCAGAAAATCCGTAGATGTCAATCATTTTTTCCCTCAAATACTGGCCGACTGGGTCAATTTCATTTTTTAAGAGTTGTCTCCCTTAAACTGAAATTTTCCACGTGGCCAAAAATGAAAAAAAAAAAAGTATTAGATTTATCTAAATTCGTATTTACTGTTTTAATTTTTTTTTTCTCAGCTTTGTTATTGAAATTTCTTTTTATCCAAAGAATCGGTGCTGAAAAGTCTTCACCCACTTTCAAAATTTGTTCAAACATACGAATTTATTTTGAAATCACTTCTTGATTGAACTGAGAAATTTTCATGACCTGCTTTGCTTTAGGTCAGGTCCTGCTCAGCAGCAGATATAGAGAATTAGTCTAGAAAGGTGATTTTTTTTTTTTTTTTTTATCCACATACATATACACTCAGAAATTTTAATTCATAGAGAAAAAGGTAAAAATGGCGGTTATATATTCATATTTCTTTTATTTTCTTTTTCCCTTTCTCTTCCTTTACTTTCCTTTCCCTTCTTCTTTCTTCTCCTCTGTTGTCTTTTTGCTTTTCTTTTCTTGAATTTTTACAAGCAGTTGTCTATTCCTGCTGTGTGTCCTATTTTTCTGAAGTGTTGCTGTTTACTCAAACACTTTTCCTATCAGCCAACAATGAAGGACGCGTCTTAATTCTCTCTGTTTATTTGTGCCCAATGCTTTCTCTTTTTTTTTTTTTTTTTTTTTTGGTGTGGAAATCTGATTTACTGATTTAACTTTTCTTTTTCAGACCGATCGTTATGTTGCCATGCAAAATGAAAGGAAAAAACAAGATCGACCCTACATGGAACGACCAGCTGACTACACTGCAAAAGTCTTTCGATAATTATTCTTGCGTTAGTCACCAAATACATCTTCAATTTTAGCAGAGTCTTTGTTCAGCTCTCTTTGCCTTAAAGAAAGGTATTGGATTCAATAAATACTGTATGGATTTACTCTGTCTTTTCGTGATTTACTATAAAACAAATGTTACCTTCTGAGTTACTAAGGACACCAGTTTATTCAAATCAAATCAAGTATATTTGGAGGCAAGGGCACACCAAACCATTTAATTAGGCCAACATAAAGAAACCAAAGTGCTTTTCTTTTTTGTTGTGAGTTGCAAGCAGCCTTTTTTCGAGTTTAGGTACAAATATATGTGCCATTTACTTTTTACAAAATTCCAGACTCCTAAATATATGATATGTTATAAGAATCTTTGTTTCACTTTCTGAAAAATTGCTCTTCGAAAAGAAATTTAATGAGTTTTATAATACAATTTAATGAGTTTTGTAATACAAATCAGAAAAAATTACCTTTTCATTGGCATGGTGTTATATACTGCAGACCTATTCATGGTGCAAATAAGTACCAGAATTGGAGGCCTATCTCAAAATCTCATTGTTACACTGGGAGCAACACATTTTGATATGGGTTTGTGGTAGTTTACTGCTGTAGTCAGCTTAAGAAATTCAAAGAAATTTTTACTTTTAAACTTCGAATAACTTGGTTTATTTAATTGAAATAAATATAAGATTATTTTATTTCTTTCAGACTTGTTATATTATTTTATGTCTATTGCAAGAACAAACTTTTTTTGTGTAAAATTCACTAAAAAATGTAGTTTAGGAATCTTGCTCATGTTATTTGGCTGTTTATCATTTTTCATTCTCCGTAGCTTGCATAAAATACTGGGTTGACATCCAGTGGGTATTAACTAGTCATGTCTCATGCCTATGAAGAAGCCTTGAATTTGTGGAAAGCATCCTTGTTGCATATCCTGTGACTTCTAAACATACTTGGCATAGTCAAAGGTTGTTTAACAAAGAAGAGGTCATTGACCCAGTAGAGCAACCTTCTTTATACAAATTCCCAAAAGGCTGGGATTGGTTGGCAACCTTACAAGAGATGGTGTCTCAATATTAAAAAAAAAGAAACTCATTGTACTACCATGAGTGTCATGTTATGTGTCAGGAAGAGCATCTGGCCTTGTAAAACCTTGAGTCTCTCTGAAATGTTTATTCTTAAAAGCAAACACACTAATTTTTTTTGCATACTATTTCTGCTTCTAATAGGTAAAAAAAGGATGTTAAATTTTTGCCAAATTTCATAGCATTTAATGATTTTTTTGATTTTTTTTTACACCACAGAAATAAAGAAAAAATTGAAGATCTCAACAAAGCAGTGTAATCTAAACAAAAAATGAGGAATTTTACTTTAAAGAAATAATTTATAAATCTGACATTTTATTGTCATACAAATGTTACAAAGAAAGTTAATTATGATCTTTTTTTTATGTAGGAAGAACAATAGAGTAATTGAATCTTAAAGCCAAGTTTGAATTCCAGTTGAGTTCATTACATTCACTTATGTGCTAATGCCCTTGGGAAAGGTATGAATCCATCTCTTCTCCCGCCAGCTATGGGTAAAATAACAGGATAGACCAGGTTCTATAGCCTTGGGTGGCAAATGATCTAGGAGAAAGTAAACTCTGAATACAAAACTTTACGTAGGCCTATTGAAGCACATACTATGGAACTAAGGAAAGGATTGTTCGCATTGACTCAAAAATTTCAACTACAGTCGACTATTCTCTTACTGTTTTCTGTTATGTATAGATTTTCGCAGAAACTTTTCTTTTGAAAACTTTGTTTTGCTTCAATTCTGAAATTTATTAAAAAATGCCATTATTTCTCTCTTAAAGTTAATTTTGATATTTTTCTCCATGGTTTTGTTATTCATAAAAAATATATTGAAGATAAAATTGTATTTTTCTTTCTAAAAGGTATTAAAAAAAAAGTAAATTAAATTTTAGTTTAGCATAGAAACAATTGTAATATTACTTTAATACAAATTTAATGGAAATGTTAGTGTTTAACTTTTAACTTTTCTCTCAAAATTTCTGTAATCCAGACATTTTGAACTCTGGCCCTTACTTTGCACCATGAGTAGACTTGTAGTATAGAATGCCATGGTCATTGGTTATTGACTCATTGCTTAGTCAACTTCATTCAGACAGTATAAATTTTGTATCAGTTTTCAGGCAGGCTTTTTAGACTTGAGGTACAAATATGTGCGTTATTTAGTATGGGGAAAATCCAGTAATGAAACCAAATCCAATTTGTAGGTGCAGTTTGTTGAGAACTGCAAAGAAATGACATCCAGCAATAACATTTTCCAGTTTCACAAGTGATATACTTAAATTCTTACAGTTGAGGAAAGTTCATTAGAACACTTGCCATAAAAATATCTATAGAAAAGAGACAGAGAAGCCATATCACAGCAGTGGAATAGTGACTGGAGTGGAAATGTCAGGTCAGAACTGATAACATAACCCTTTTTGATTTTGTCAAGAATCTCAAGACAGCAGGTGCACCAGACTGGATGTGGCAGTAATATTCAATTTGTGAATGAATGGTAGATTTATAAACAAGCAAGATAAGTTCTGGCACAACACAGGGAACCCACTCTCATAGCAGCAGATCTAGCAGTTGATATAATTGTTCTGCTTCATGTCATTGGAAGATGCAAAGAGCTGCTTTCTTGGAGGTTAGCATCAGCCATGCTCATTGAAGTCAAAAATTGGGTGTAAAAGATAGAAGTTTTGTTTTGGAGGCATTTTAATTTACAAGCCATTTCTTGTTTCCATTAACAACCGATTGATCAAGAGCATCTGCTAGTTTTACTTTGGCATATTTAATATTAAGACGGGATTAAAATAGTTGTGTCATCAACATAAATAACATCAGAAACATCATTGATTAAGAAACAGCATAGGTCCAAAGATAGAACCCATTGACAAGAGTATTCATACGAAATGATCTAGTGGCATGTCCATTCAACACAACCTTTATTACATGATTACATAACATACCCTTTTCATTTTGTCAATCTCAAGACATATATCAGGTACACCAGACCAGATGTGGCAGTAATATTCAATGCATTGACAGATGGTAGATTTATAAACAAGCAAGATGGATTTTGGCGTAACACAGTTGAACCCAAGACAGGATTAAATAGTTGTGTCATCAATATAAATACTTAGTTAAAAAATGATAACATCAGAAAGGTTGTTGATTTAGAAACACCATAGGTCCAAAGATAGAACCCATTGACAAGAGTGTACATGCAAAATGATCTAGTGCAGTGCTTCTCAAACAATCTGATATGGTGAACCAGCATTTTTTTTTCTCAATGTGTCACGTACCTATAATATTTCATGGTAATATTAATTTATGCTGGAAACAATATATAATGAATATAATAAAATTTGACTATTTCATTTATTTTGCAAAGAATAATTCAACATCAAAACATATAAAAAGTAATAAAAAAAATAAGCAGTTTATTAACACAAAAACAAAAATTATATAAACCTCATCTTTACAAATGTTTCCTTATGATGGCCTGAACACTGGCCAAGTACCGGTAGCTAATGGTTCGCGTCCTGGTACCAGTCTGCGGACCACCACTTTGATTAATCCTGATCTAGGGGCGTCTCCATTCAACACAACTTTTATTACACTATTTTTTAAGAATGAATGAATGAAGCCAATCATTCATCCAGACAAAGATTTCATGGTGGTGATTTTTAAACAATAAAAACATAGTTTGAATACATAGCCGAATACATTATCTCTGGACACTACGGCGTGGTGTAATGGTTAAAAAACTTGTATCACTAGATCTGTTATGACCAATTGGATGAGTTTGACCAGACTGGGTGCTTCCTACTTTAGCCTTGTGCCACATCTACGCTTAGTAAATCATTATCTTATTGGGCACTTCAACATGATTTAATTGTTAGTAAAACAGGAGTAAATAGTTGAGTCATCAGTTTAAATACTTAGTTGGGAACTGATGACATTGGGAAGCTTGTTGATAAAGATAAGAAATGACGTAAGTCCAAGGATAGAGCCCTGTTTGGGCTGAGACACCATAGACCTTCAGCTTGCGAAGAAGGCTTGCATGCCAAATCCTAAAATGCTAATTTTGTTGAAAGTATTCATAAATTCTTAGGTTTAATTTTAATGATCATTCACATTTTTAAGAAAGCTATTTCTTCTTATTTTCAATATGTAGAATGATCGCTGGATTTCAGGTCAGTAAAATAGAAAGAAACATTTGATATTTTTTATCATTTTTTTTCCTCTAGCACCGGAATATATATTTCCATAGAAATTGTTGAAAAAGAAATAATAAAAAAACATTGCTGTAAAATCAATAAGTAACAATAAGTAAAAAAAAAAATACCAGTTACTTAACTCTACTGGATTCAAATAGAATCAGGGCTGAAATATAATTGTGATTAATGTTTTCATTTTAATTTTCACCTTGTGGCCACCAAAATTTATCTGCCGTGCACTGATGATACAAAGTCACAATGCCATTGTTATGACAATAGCGAGCATCTGAAAAACCAGACTGAGAAAAGTCTATGTGGAACCGTGGCATCCGAACTTTTTTTTTTCTCTGGGCTGCATTTTCGGAATGAAAATTTACTTGAGCCTCACCTAATTTTATGTGATAAAAAGTTTATTTAAAAATGAAAAACAGAGAGGGTTAAAGGGAGATAATCACAGATTCAAAGTCAGAACATTATCATTGATAACTCTCTCCTCCAATTGGCAGACCCTAGTTACTATATTCTTAATACTTGATATAATGCAAAAATATCACTATGATAAAATTGGTCAATAATTATCTGTCTATATTTCTGAGATGAGGTATTATGTACACTACATTATTTGGACTATTGTCCTCATCTTTGTCGCCATATTTATTACAACGTTTTGGCCCTTCAGTATCTGTCTATATTTCTGAGATGAGGTATTGTGTACACTA